ATTCTTAAGAAAGGCAGGAATATGGCCGGGAACTGTCTGAAGCAATGAGTCGCATTCCTCAGAATGGCAGGGTATGGCTGGGAACTGTCCGAACCATTAAGTCGCATTCCTCGGAATGGCAGGAATATGGCCGGGAACTGTCTGAAGCAGTCAGTCGCATTCCTCAGAATGGCAGGAGTATGGCTGGGAACTGTCTGAAGCAGTCAGTCGGATTCTTAAGAAAGGCAGGAATATGGCCGGGAACTGTCTGAAGCAATGAGTCGCATTCCTCAGAATGGCTGGGAACTGTCCGAACCATTAAGTCGCATTCCTCGGAATGGCAGGAATATGGCCGGGAACTGTCTGAAGCAGTCAGTCGCATTCCTCAGAATGGCAAGCGTATGGCTGGGAACTGTCCGAACCATTAAGTCGCATTCCTCAGAATGGCAGGAGTATGACCGGGAACTGTCTGAAGCAGTCAGTCGCATTCCTCAGAATGGCAGGAGTATGACCGGGAACTGTCAGAAGCAGTCAGTCGCATTCCTCAGAATGGCAGGAGTATGACCGGGAACTGTCTGAAGCAGTCAGTCGCATTCCTCAGAATGGCAGGAGTATGGCTGGGAACTGTCTGAAGCAGTCAGTCGCATTCCTCAGAATGGCAGGAGTATGGCTGGGAACTGTCTGAAGCAGTCAGTCGCATTCCTCAGAATGGCAGGAGTATGACCGGGAACTTTCTGAAGCAATGAGTCGCATTCCTCAGAATGGCAGGGTATGGCTGGGAACTGTCCGAACCATTAAGTCGCATTCCTCGGAATGGCAGGAATATGACCGGGAACTGTCTGAAGCAGTCAGTCGCAATCCTCAGAATGGCAGGAGTATGACTTGGAACTGTCTGAAGCAGTGAGTCGCATTCCTCAGAATGGCAGGAGTATGACCGGGAACTGTCTGAAGCAGTAAGTCGCAATATTCAGAATGCCATTGAACTAAACATGTTTGTGTATTGTAATTCCACATCTCAGGGCGGTGTTTCCAAGCATTATTATAGATTAATCAATTGGGTTCGCTAGGCAAGACGACTAGGTATCCAAAACACCTGCAAAGGCCACTCGCTGGTCGACTTTTGAACTGTGTGTTTATCGATGTAAATATGCTATTTCCCCCCGAGAATCGATAGAACACAGTGTTGTGCGTCAACCAGTTATGTTGAACCCCATGAATGGACAACCATTGAGAGATGTACGGTCAAAGCGTGTGCACTTATTTATTCAGCTGAAGCCAAACGGATGAGAAGAGGGATGAAAATAGACTTACTTCGACGTCCATTCAAGATGAGGATTACTGAATTAAAGATTGGCTTATTTGTTTCACTATCACAAATAAAAGCGACAAAACCCATTCCATAATCGAAAGAAATCTCTGCTAAAAGCAGAGGCACTTGTAGATTGCGACTGCTATAGGCATATGTTGATAAAAGGTGAAAACGTGCAATCCTGTCTTACACACCATTTTTTTAGCAAAGTCTAGCTATTTTGGGGTAACTTGCGTTGCTTGGTGAGCTGAAGTCACTCTGAACAATTAAAATAAAAGCGACGAAACCCTTTTCGTATTGATAAGAAATCGACTATGCGATTCCGAGAAAACCATGAGTATGTGTTTATGAATAGCTATCAAATAGTAATGATATCAGGTGTTCGTATCCTGCCCTACCCGACACAAACACATGCAAAGGCAAGTCACTTATTCACCTGGAAAAAAAACCCACGGGAATAAATGGTACAAATCAAAATAGGGAATTAATTCGGACATCATTCTTGTCACTGATGCGTCAAATTTGGAAATATCCTCCACATGTCTTCCATTACGCTGTTTGAAAGCATTGAATATTGTTAAAACAGCTGAGAAAGAGAAGGTGCGTCTGTTTGTCTGTCCCTTTGTACTTGGATACCTCGCTACTCTTTGTTTGTAATCGAATGTAAACTACCATGCATCAACTCCCAGAAAATAGATAACACGAATGACGTGGTAATGCAGAATGTCTGTAAATTGTGGTGTTTCTAATTCTCTTGTTGTGTAGAAAGGGGATGAGGTGAGGTGAAATGGGGTTTAACGTCGCGTCCAAGATTATTTGTGCCGCAGTTTAACATGAATACCCCACTCAGACACAGTATACTGACTCCGAGACGACCACAAGTACCATCTATAACGTCTTTTGGAAGGACGCGGCAGGGGATGGAACCCCCGACCTTCCGCTCTCCGGGCTGACGCTCTACCACAAGACCACGGAGGCGGTCTAAAAAGGGGATGAACTCTGGAGCAACTACAATATTGACCTTAACTTATGAACTATTTATGGTTTTAACGAAGCCCCAATACCAACGAGTCCGTACCATATACATGTCTTCTGCAATATTCAGAAGTACAGGGCATGGTTTGTCATATTATTCAACCTTCAAACGAACTCGACGTTATTTGTGTTACCTGGAAAATACAACAGTGCTCATAACGATGTTCCAACACAAAACACCAAACCGATCAATAAGAACGAGACATAAAGACGCCATTCCGGTGAAAACATGAAATCAATATAAAATAATCAACATTCCAGTTATTTTTTTAAAACAAAAAGTATAAGCACCTATCTACTTGTGATCTGATGGTGTTTACAGAAAACTGGTCTGAAGCCGAAGATGCTCGTGCGCCTGGAGAAAGACACTGGTGTGTTATTGTTGTAGTATCTCTATGGTAACGAAGTTGCTTCTGAAAACGTCTTTGAAGACTTGACGGAGTGTACAACATTGCCTGCTTGAGTCAGATCGAATCTGATCAACAAAGTCAACAATGTCGCCGCTTCAACTACACACGGCACGGAGCGCGGTGCTTCCGGTTGTCTGTTGATACCGTGGACCGAGATTGTATCGTCGTCATCGTCGTTGATCGGGACGTCGTGAAGAACGCTGTTAGGGGCACTTCTTGGACATAACCCGGGGGCACGGCTGTACAGGCACTTCTGGGACATAACCCGGGGGCACGGCTGTACAGGCACTTCTGGGACATAACCCGGGGGCACGACTGTACACAGTCCATCAATCTCCAGTACGTTAACTATCACATTCAGAAGGCAGACAATGGATGAACAATGGATTTAGGCAACCAGAGCATAAAGATTGTTATTAATATTTACCATTTCCTTTCTGAGACAACATGATTGTTTCAGTGACTGTAGGGAGAGAGTAGTAAATTTTGTGATATGACATATTTCTGCTGTAAACATTTGTCTGAGCGGCATGTTAAACCCTAATGGTAACACATAATGGGGGTTGCAGCTTATTCTGAACTGACTGAACAACATTCTGGCGACATGTACACTTAGACTGAACAATATTCTGGTGACAGATACACTTAGGCTGAACAATATTCTGGCGACACGTACACTTAGACTGAACAACATTCTGGCGACACGTACACTTAGACTGAACAACATTCTGGCGACACGTACACTTAGACTTAATAATATTCTGGTGACAGATACACTTAGACTGAACAACATTCTGGTGACAGATACACTTAGACTGAACAACATTCTGGTGACAGATACACTTAGACTGAACAACATTCTGGCGACAGATACACTTAGACTTAATAATATTCTGGTAACAGATACACTTAGACTGAATAATATTCTGGTGACAGATACACTAAGACTGAACAATATTCTGGCGACACGTACACTTAGACTGAACAATATTCTGGCGACAGATACACTAAGACTGAACAATATCTGGCGACACGTACACTTAGACTGAATAATATTCTGGTGACAGATACACTAAGACTGAACAATATTTTGGTGACACATATACTTACACTGAACAACATTCTGGCGACAGATACACTTAGACTGAACAACATTCTGGTGACAGATACACTTAGACTGAATAATATTCTGGTGACAGATACACTTAGACTGAACAATATTCTGGCGACACGTACACTAAGACTGAACAATATTCTGGCGACAGATATACTTAGACTGAACAACATTCTGGTGACAGATACACTTAGACTGAACAACATTCTGGCGACAGATACACTTAGACTGAACAACATTCTGGTGACATAAGTATACTCGTTATTTAGCGGCTGCGGGCACATCGGTATATGTGCCCCTTGTATCGTCTTTGGGTACGTCTCAATAGTTGTCATATCAGTAGAACACTAGAAACAACAACAACTGCCCCTTAATCCGATGTCGCTTGCTAACTCACTCACTCTCTCACTCACTCCAACATCTTCTACATGCGTCAGTGTTGTGTGGGTACCAGTTGGAGCAGACATAAAATTCATTACTGAATAAATTATGCGTCAAATAAAACACTTGAGCTGCAGCAGTGTTACGTTTATTGTTCAACACTGCAGGTGAATACTGGCGATTGACAAGCGCGGCTTTGAGACGGGAATGTATGTACAGTGTGGAGGATGTGTCCATCACCACTAGGGCATGACATATCGCCAAATAAATAATTTAAATCGTGTTTAAAGAAAACGGTGGGCTTGAAAAGATGATGAATGTCCATATGTACACATAAGTCTTTCTCTGTTCATTCTTTCCCAACTTTGAGAACGGTTTTACAAGTCATATAGGCTGTATTTGTAATAAATAATATATTTTTTATTCTCTGGTCTTGATTAAATATCTGATGAAGGAATAGACCTGATAACTTCTTGTCCGCAATCTGCCAAAAAACGATTTGTTGCTTTAAGCTTTTCACTCAATTTGTGTTAAAATGAAAGTGAGACAATTGTTTCGTTTATTGTAATCAATCCTATTTAAGTCGCGAACTTCGTGAGCAGTAAAAGTTGATATAGAGAATCAGAGCTCTTATGTTGGTAGTACCACCACTCTCATCGATCTCTTAACGCTGATCGATCGAAACCCAGCCGTGTCTTTTTCAGAGAGATCAATCCCCAATGGGGAAAACAGCAGCCCGTGCATAATTTACCAGCCCTTTGTAGTCGGTATAGATCGTTACGAAGCCCGATAATTCCAGGAGTGCGAGAAACCTATGGTGATCGGTGGTGATGGTTGAAAGAAAGAGAATCAGTCGGCCAATCAACATAATCGAAGATCGATACCTTCTGTTTCGGTGTCAGAAAGGAGTGACCATTTGTGTAGGCATTCAGACAACCAGCGCCATCTAGTGACAGCTCAAGAATGTTGATCCGAGATGAGATGTAGTGAACGTTAGAACCCCCGTTGACTGCGCAGAGATAGCCACGGTTTGCCGGGAGACACAAGTGGACGATTTCCCGCCAATTGTGACTACATTCCTCGACTCGGAGTTACTCGGCAGCATGTGACAACACTCGGAGTTCCCGTGTGTCGGAAACATGTGACAGCACTTGGAGTTGGGAGTCGCACAGGCGACACGGTCTCCGGACTCTTAGCGAGCCAGGTTCGATTTTCAAACGACTATTGTGTGTTGGTTAACATGTAAATATTGGATACAGAGTGTTGTTTTATAGATGATCCTGGAGACAAGAACAATGGCGCTACATTGATAAACAAAAGTGCCGTTCCTGACGACATTAAACATTTATGTATTTGTGTTTTTCGTGATCGTTGACAAAGTCTCAAGTGAGTTCAAACCATTTGACATCAGTGGAAGTACACTTGACACGATTCTTTGTGTGAAAAAACACCTTATTAAATATGGAACACGATAAGACACCGCCGACATCAGGTGATGGGAAACCAGAGGGACAAGATGGCGGTTTGAGTGAGCAGAAGTCAGACGACAAACCAAGTGATGTGACAGGCGCTGCCGTAACAGAAGACAAACCAAGTGATGTGACGGTCTCAACCGTAACAGAAGACAAACCAAGTGATGTGACAGGCGCCGCCGTAACAGAAGACAAACCTAGTGATGTGACGGTCTCAGCCGTAACAGAAGACAAACCAAGTGATGTGACGGTCTCAGCCGTAACAGAAGACAAACCAAGTGATTTTGTGACGGACGTCTCCACAACGGTTCTCCCTGTAAGTACAAGAAGTGCGTCTCAGGTGAATCTATTCGATGGGGAAAAGACGCCAGACGCTGCCGAAACGGGAAACCAGAAACCCCCCGAATCTCCAACACCAACTAACAGTTTAAACACTCCGAATGGTGTCCGGGACACTGACGCCTTGATCGCGGGTCCCATGGAACAGAAGGAAGGTGAAGTTAAACCTGACGGAAGTAAGAAACAAGCACCAGAGTCTAAGCCAGGAGGGTTAACGAACAACGAGGCCCCTAGAGGAGTGCTGGACGAAAAGTCCCCAAAGGAGGAAGACGGTGATAACAATGTGAAGGACACTGACCCACTTCTGACAAAAACAGACTCTCAAAAAACGTTACAGTCGGATACTGGTTCCAGTGTTAAGAGTGACTCGTCGTCGGACTCCAAGAAGCCACTGATAGAAAAGAAAAAGTATTCCTTTATACCTATAGTTGGTAAAGAGAAGAAGCAAAACGATTCAAAGAAAAAGAAAGGGGAGAAGTTGGATTTGAAGCGTGATAAGGACAACAAGGCAGCCGTGAGGATGAGCCGGAGTAGCCTGTCAGGGAGCTCGCAGAACATTGCACTGAAGGACAAGAGTGAACCTGTGACGTCATCGGATGCTAAGGGGGAGACAACCTTCTCTGTGGTGAACGAAAATGAGAAGAATGAACAGACCTCTAAGAATGTGAAATGGAAAGAGAATGAACCGGTGTCGAAAGACAAGAAACCCTCCCCAAATATCAAGAAGGAGAGCAAGATTCCCGAACTGGATAAAAAGAAGCAGAATGTGATACAGAAGTCACTACAGAGAGAAAAGGCGGTGTTGTCAAACGGGTCCGTGAAAGCTACTGAGAAGGAAACTGTTAAGAAAACAGATGAAAAACCGAAAGAAAACGAAAAGAAGGCACTTGACCCACCGGTCGTGGAAACCAAAAACGAACCCTTCAAACCTAAATCCATACTCGCACGTGCGATCATGAAGAAGGTGAAGGAAGGGTCGGGTCAAGCGCAGAATAACGCCGAATCTAAACACGTCGTCCTGAACGGCCCGCCAACGACGGTGAAGACGCCAAGTAAGACATCCTTGGCCGTCCCGGCCCCAGTGACTCGCGACATCAGCGACGACAAGGATGACAGATTGTCCATTGGGTCACGCCGAGACTCCACCAAGTTGTCTCTGTCCGACTCCATGTCTCGGAAGTCCGTGGACTTCCGCGTCGCCAACGCCACTACCGTCATCATCCCAGCGTCCGGACAAGATGACGAGAAGCAGAAGTCGGTCGTCGCCAACAACGACTCGTGGATCAGGTCGGCCATCCCCTTCATGCCTCTCAGCCTGGCCATCCTCTGTCTCCTCCTCAACATCGTGGTCCCCGGAACAGGTGAGCAACTCGGGTTGATGCGAGGGTGGGGGGTCGGGGAGGGGGTGGAGTCGGGTGAGCATGGACGGACGGGGTTCGACGTTGTTCTGTGTACTGAGTGAGTGAGTTTTACGCCGCTTTTAGCAATATTCCAGCAATATCACGGCGGGGGACACCAGAAATGGGCTTCACACAATGTACCCATGTCGGGAATCGAACCCGAATCTTCGGCGTGACGAGCGACTGCTTTAACCACTATAATGGGTGTGTGTGATACCGGATGTGTGATGTGTGTAGGTGTTGAAGGACAAGGGATGCGTATTGCGGTGCTCGGGGTGGAGGGCAATATGTGTGGTGTGTGTGGTGTGTGTGTGGTGTGTGTGTGGTGTGTGTGTAGAGTCTGTACTGCCATGTTGGTCGTGATGAGCGACATCTTCCCGAACCAAGAGCGTTAAATGGAAACTGGAAACTGGACTTTTATAGTCAGTTAACCCCTTGCCTCGGGAAGATGGGTGGACCATGTCCTGGACGTATCCTGGAATGCAGTGGCTGTAGCGGTGGTTTGTTCTCACATGTATTATTCATTGCAAGGAATGCAGCAGGACCGGGTGTGATGATGGGCGTTAGTTACAGTTAACGACAGGCCCGTGGCAAGTCAGGCGTGTTGCCCTGATGTAGATAACGTCTCTAAAGAGATGATATTGTGCTTCGACGAACATTAAAATACCTGGCAACTTCGTTATGCGCGAGACCCTGATCTTCGGCAAGTGGTAGCATTGCGTAAGCGTTACTTACTGTTATACAATTTAATGAGCACCTGGGCCCCGTTCCAAAGCGATCTTAGAGCTACGACTGTCGTAAGCCCATGCTAAAAAATGGGAGTTACGGTCATCTTAGCGCTACGATCGCTTTGTGGAACGGGCCCTGATAGTTTAACAATCATTGTATGCAGTTTACATTTAGAAACCACGTATCCATCTCCCATCAAACACGCAAACATCCAAAATGTGCGCCGTGAACATGCACGTGCAATTGTGAAGCACGACCTTAAAGTCGAGTAAACTTCTTCATGAATATGTTTTGAAAAATGCATATTTTATTTCAAAATACATTTATTTGTATTGAGCTGTGTATGAAGCACGGTTTCTTGTTTGCGTGGGTGTATGTCCTTTCTTCAGGAAGTGACAGGTCTGTAGATGGGCAGAGTGGGTCGGGAGATTACCACTACATTTCAGTATAAGTGCTTCTGCCGACTGTACACCAGTACCACTAAGGCCGCTTTTTCCCACCCGTCCTGAGTTTACATTCCGACGTCAAATAATAAATAGTTTGATCGTATCAATATTCCCTGCCCCTGTGGAAGAGTATGCCCCATGTGATACGGATATACTACTACTATTGTACACTCAGTAACACAGGTCAGCTTCGTTTCCGAAGCAAAGCGACTCGATCTTCGTCATACATTAATTTGAAGACTGGTGTCAAGTGTCTTACACTTAAAGATATATGTCATAAAATAAGTTGCGCAATGTTGAAAAACAGTTGTTTATAGTTTTTAATTAAAAACTTCACATTTTAAAAAGTAATCCCATATATGATATACAACGGACAAATGTATCAGAGAAGGTAATTTTTAATCATTAATGTCCAAAGAAGGATTTTAATTAACGGTGGTAACCATAATTTGTTCCAAGCACCTACGGTATTCGGTAATAACATCAACAGTTTAAATCATAAGTCCCAAGCACGAGAATCTGATGGCACACAAGTTCAGTAGCGTGTATGGCCACCATGTGCGTTGACAACTGCCAAACAACGCCTACACATGGACCTTTGTGATGCTTGTGAACACATGATTGGGAAGACGACGCCATTGTTGCTGCAAAATGGTGCCAAGATCTTGCAAATTCTGTGGTTGGTTCTGGAGAGTGCGCAGACTTCTGCCAAGAGCATCCCAGACGTGTTCGATGGGATGGAGTTCGGGAGACCTTGACGGCCAGTCCATGACGTTGACTCCCTTATTCTGAAGGAAATTCCTTGTCAAAATTGCTGTGTGGGGTCTGGCATTATCGCGTTGGAAGATCAAACCGGGTTCATGTGCTGCCATAAAAGGCAGAAGTTCTGGTGCCAGTACCTGGTCGCGGTAAGCAGCAGCGTTGAGGTTGCCACGGATGACAAGAAGCCTGGAACGTGCATTGCCACAGAAAGCACCCCACACCATGACACTTCCGCCTCGAAATCTGTCAACTTCCTGTACACAACACTGGGCGTAACGTTCATGACGGCGCCTCCACACCCTCGCCCTACCATCAGCAAATCGAAGATTAAATCGGGATTCATCACTGAAGACGACTTGATTCCAATGCCTCTGAGTCCATCGTAAGTGTCGCTGTACCCACAATTGACGTTGACGTCTGTATAATTGAGTCAAAATCGGCCCGCATTATGGCCGTCGTGCTTGAAGGTGAGCAGTTCTCAGACGGTTTCGAACAGTTTGCGCACTCAGTCTACCCCTAAACAGTTCATTTCTGGTTGATGTAGCCGTCAAAAATCGGTTAAGGAGGTGACGTAAGACAATCTGACGATCCTCTGCATGTGACGTCACACGTGGTCAACCTGGCCGAGGGCGATCAGCGTTGGTACCCGTTTGCTGTAGACGCGTCTGTAAATCATAAACAGTCCGTCGACTAAAACCCATCGTCCTTGCGACTTCAGCTACGGACGTTCCCGTCTGCAACATGCCGAAGGCACGTTCACGTTGCACATTTGAAAGGCAAATGGCCGTAAAGACTTTTGTTTTCTTGTGTGTTCTTTTTGTTTTTTAATGACTGCTAACAAGTATGGTGAAAAACCACTTTTGCCACTATAGTGCTGTGCACATGATTTTGATCGATTCACCTGCGGGGTGGGGGGTCATCCCTTGTTAATGTTGCCCGCCCGTCCGCTGGTTGAGGTCGGAGATTAGAAACACATACAAAATATGGGTGGCCTAATAACGTCGGCGTATGTGACGTTCCTTTTACACACGAACGTCTGCCGACGTCGATTTTATAGGTCGTCTCCTAGTCTCAGCCTGGTTATACGTCACCGCGCCCTCGTGTTTGCGCTGATGTACTCCCGGCATCCAGAGCCATTGAACCGTAGACATATAATTGTATCGTCGTATCACATTTAAAAGTCACTCCGAAAATGACAATGTGTTGTATGAATATAATGAGTCATGTATTTCTCAAAAACAGATGTTGTGCCATTTTCCCCATAGTCTTGGGGGCGTCGGGGTAGCCTGGTGGTTAAAGCGTTCGCTCGTCACACCGAAGACCCGAATTCAATTCTCCACATGGGCAAAATGTGTGAAGCCCATTTCTGGTGTCCCCCGTCATAATATTGCTGGAATATTGCTAAAAGCGGCGTAAAACTCACTCACTATATAGTCTTGGGGGCCCGGGGGGCCCAGTCGACTAAGGCGCTGCGATTCGCTGTGCAGAGTTGCGTCCCTTGGGCACGCCAGAAACCTATGATTGTGGGTTCGAATCCCGGTTCGCCCAAATTATGTTTCTAGGTTTGTCAGCACCATACCCGTGCTCGTGGGTTTCACCGAAGTGGTAAACGTCTGAGACCTGCATCACTTGGGCTCTCCTCCCACATTAAGCTGACACGCCGCGATATAACTGGAATACTGTTAAAAGCGGCGTTAAACCCAACTCATTCACTCACTCACTCACAATATAGTCTAGAAATTTACCGTTTTATTGAAGGAGAAGCCATGATTGGAAGAAGAGGCGAATGGTTCTCGTGATGCCGCCGCAAATAATGTGTACATAATGACTTTGTATCGTGGCCACTAGTACAACCCGGGTTTATACTCAGTGTCCAACAATACCACCCTCTATAGCTTTTTCCCCAGGCACAGGTGGACCTTTCACAGCTGTAGACTGTAAACCCTGGTGTCAGTAGTCTCTCCATGGGGGTCGGCGTTGTCTCAGTGGGGGTCAGCTTTATCTCAGTGGGGGTCAGCGTTGTCTCAGTGGGGGTCAGCGTTATCTCAGTGGAGGTCAGCGTTGTCTCAGTGGGGGTCAGCGTTGTCTCAGTGGGGGTCAGCGTTGTCTCAGTGGGGGTCAGCGTTATCTCAGTGGAGGTCAGCCTTGTCTCAGTGGGGGTCAGCGTTGTCTCAGTGGGGCTCAGCGTTGTCTCAGTGGGGGTCAGCGTTATCTCAGTCGGGAAGCATGGTAACTATTGGTCCAGGTCAAGAAAAAATAGACTATTTTCCGAAATCAATAAGTAAATTAGAAAATAATTGCATGTGGTTGTTAGCAATGGATTATAAAGACATTACATCTGTTTCGTTTCGTCGCAATAGACATCTTTAATTCAGAAGTGATTTACAAGGCTCGGTGTTAACGAGGGGATCAGCGAGACACAGTGCACTAGACTCCAGCATCGACCGCCGTCGAGAGGATTTACAGTAATGTCCTTAGATTAGGAAACTCAGGAACACGGTATCCACCGCTGGCTACAATAATCTTCATCTTCATCAATACGGTGTAAGAAGCCAGATACATTAAGAAAATATTTTAAACAGCTAATTCAGAATTTCAATGTCCTTCTCCCGGCATTTATTATTGGCCTGATTGTCGCGTGTAGTTCTAAACAACTCTTATGTGGGTTAAAAATATAAAATTGCGGCTCTGGAAATATCCATCCGCCTTTATAGGTGGCGACAGGGTCTCTTTTACAAGTATAAATGAAAAATGAAGAAATGATTAATTAAGCTCTTAAACATTTGTGAGTGCAGTAAAGGAACAGCGAGTGACGGCATTCTGTTATCGGTTTTATCCAATTGTATTCCTACTTGGGAATTACTGTTGATCCCTGCTAGTATTATAGTACTATGTACAAGTATTATAGTATCACCATTAAGTATAATAGTATCATCAGCTAGTATTATAGTATCATCTGAGGTGCGCGTCATACCAAAAGACGTTAAAAGATGGTACTTGCTGTTACCCTGTCTGGCGCTCGGCATTAAGGGGCTAAAACAAGGACTGGTCGGCTCGGAGTCGGTACACTTTTTCTGAGTGGGATATTTATGTTAAACTGCGGCATGGTATCTCAGTGGGCTAGCACTATAAATTGGCATCACTCGGGACTAGTACAAGCAACCACACACACACACGTGCATGCACGTCGCTATATAAGTGCAATAATGTTGGACGCGACGTTAAACCCCATTTCACCTCACCACCTCATCTGAGCCGCAGAACTATAATGACAAAAGAACATCACTTTGCATAACCCATTTAAACAGTTGTATGGCATCTATGCAATTACCATGCTAACAAACACAAACAGAAGCTAGAGATAGAAATTACCAGTTCGATGTCCCATTTTACCTGTTTTTCTATTATCGCCCTTTGTGTTTGTTCGATTGATGGTGGGACATTTAATCAGTATTCAGGCAGCTACTCTTTGTATAGCAAACAGAGAAGTCTCACAAACCAGTCTCTCGTTGCAACTTTGTACTTGGTAGGAGACCTCATGTTTCAGTAATCAGTTCCATGAAAATGGCCACTATCGACAGGTATTGTATCATCTGGTCTGTTATCGACTGGGCGTTTTATGTCCGTGTGTGAATGTTGAGCGTAACATTACAACAAAGCGATTTAATCAAGGGTTTATGGAACATGCAATTATCTTGATTACCCGCTGACGGAGTCGAACTCGGACCGTTTCTTCCGTTCCCACAGGAACACTTCCACGGAACCATTGTGTAACCTCTCTCCGTGTGTCCCGCCAATCATCAGCCACGCCTATCTATTTACAATGGACGTAAAACGCATGACATGAAAAAACTAACGATTTCCTTGCAAGGAAATGCCATTTTGGTGGCTGACTATTTTCTAGTGCGGAAAAAGACTGCATTAAGCTGCAAGAGAAACGCATGATTGAACTGACTTGCCGAGAATAGTCACCATTAACTTAATGCGAAATATTTGCTGTAAAATGTTAAAATGAGGCACGTATCAATAGGTATTCACTAAGAATACAGTGGGCTGGGACTATTGCGGGCATGTGTGTACTGTATTGTGCCGAGGTAGTTGGCGTCGGTGTAGAGCACCAAGAGGACTGTACCTGGGGACTCTGGGCTGGTGTTGTGTCAGTATTGATAAGTACTGATGGCAAATATACACAAAGCAACACATGCACGATCACTAGTTGGTTCTTTCGGGAGGGAACGAATAAGTATGAGTCAAATCTGCCCCATGAAACTAGCATGAGTTAAATCTGGTATATGGCATACATGAAACTAGCATGAGTTAAATCTGGTATATGGCATACATGAAACTAGCATGAGTTAAATCTGGTATATGGCATACATGAAACTAGCATGAGTTAAATCTGGTATATGGCATACGGTTGTTTAAATCTTGCACATGGATGATTAAAATTAAATCTATCAATGGGTGAGTCATGAATACAAAGTTATACTTAAAAACAAATTTGTCATAATTGGACATAACACTATTATCTACATCTGTTTAAAACGCGGACTATGAGCCACCAGTAATAAACGCTGGGCCACCTGGCTGGGGACACGGTGCCTTTGCTTCCTGCACGCTACCCCAGCAGGATTGACGTCATCACCTTAGCTACTGGTGGTTGTGCACAATGCTAGCCAATATAGTACAAAATGCTCAGCAAAGAGTTTGCTTAAAACACTGGTTGATTGATTATACACTCTTCAAAAAAAGAAACGCATAGTAAAAAAATAAGGATATTTATTAAGCGGATGCAAAAGTATCTACACAGAATATGCGTGAACACAATCAAATGAAATTAGACACAGTGATCGACAAAAGCATTGTCGTCATTGTCAGCATTAATTCAGTTCAGTCATTGCACGTGTGTAGCCACAAGGTGGCGTCATGGTCAGTACCTGGTCACACCACCTCTTGCAGCCGTCACTGCTCGACACAACCTTGGCACATATTGCTCAAGTCGTCGGAGTTTTTCGTGGGGAATTCTTCGCCATTCCTCCTGTAAGGCGTTGGCGAGTTGTGCCAGTGTGTGGGGACGCTGGTGACGTTGATGGACGCGTCGATCAAGTTCGCCCAACAAATGTTCAATCAGGGTTGAGATCAGGCGATTTGGACGGCCATGGAAGGACATGATATTCTCATTAACAAGGAAATTAACTGTTGCACGTGCTGTGTGGGGCCGAGCGTTGTCATGTTGGAACAGCTCCCCGAGGATGCAGAATTTGGTCTATGTATCGGTTTGCTGTAAGATTGCCCTGGACAACCACTAACTGTGATCTACCCGTATAGGACATGGCTCCCCACATCATGACACTCCCTCCACCAAATCGGTCCATCTGTCGAACGCAGTTCGGCGCAAAACGTTCATGTCGACGCCGGTATACACGTTGTCTTCCATCCCGTCGTTGAAGAAGAAAAGGTGACTCATCGCTGAACCAAACGCGTCACCAGTTCCTGAGATCCCATGCCTGTACTCTGTTGCACCACCGGACACGCCGTTGACGGTGTAGACGTCGCAAGACAGGTCCAACTTTTGGTCTTCTCGCTCGAATTCCCACTTCCCTCAGACGATTTCTGATGGTTTGGTCGGAAATTCTTCGCATACCAGGCTCTTGTCCTGCAGTGTCTGTTGCTGTAGCAAATCGATTCCGTAGGTGATGCAACCGGATGTACCGATCCTGAGCAGGGCTGGTCACTCTTGGTCTTCCACTTCTGGGATGATCTTGAGTGCGGGTATATCAATCCCATAGTCGAGATATGGTGCTTTGGTGAACGTTGAAGTGTCTTGCAACGGCAGACTTGGACTCCCCTGCTTCCAAACGTCCAATGGCGATATTTCGGTTAGCTGCAGTTAATCTTGGCATTTTTCGCTTACGTCAGAAAATTCGTAATGAACTGATGAATTTTGTACGGTCTTTTATAGTCAGTGGCTCTACTCTTGTTTCCAACATTTTGCACGTGCATTGTGCTGAAAACCTTTTCTGAAAGCAATTTCCGTGCATCCTTTGCATTTTTGCTGATAAACGTTTACAAAAAACATTTTGAGATGTGTTTGCGCGCACTGCACAACAAACATGACATGATTAACTGGAATCAAACATAAGAATAGTCTTTATGACGATTGCTTGGAAAAAAAATATCTAATTGGAATTAAATGTCACACAGGGGGACAATCATTTAACCTACTTTAACCTTCCGGACAGAGCCTTTGATAATGTCTGTTGATAAAAGCATCACACCAAATTTAAAAACAAGCAATTAGTTATTCACATACATATTAATAATTTATGATAGTCATTTAGGCGGCTCAGAAGGAGATGCCCGCTCACACAGGTACAAAATCTTTCAGATTTACTGTGTGAAAATATGAATCCCTTGCGATTGGAAAGCTCTATCCATGGAATAAATATCACTCATTTCTGACTCATCGAATAAGATCAATATGAATTATATCCATACATGATACATAGTACAAAAATAAATTATATCTAGCCATGTAAAATAAGAATTATATCTAACCATGTAAAATATGAATTATATCTCGTTCGTATAAATATGAATTAAATCTAGCTATGTATAAGTATGAATTATATAAAGCCATGTATAAATATGAATAATTTCTAGCCATGTGTAAATAACAATTATATCTTACATGTATAATTTTGAATTATACCTAGCCATGTTTAAATTATATCTAGCCATGTGTAAATAAGAACTATATCTAACGGTGTCAAAATATGAATTATATTTTGCCATATATGAACATGAAGTATATCTAACGATGTGTAAATATGAAGTTTATCTAGCCATGTATAAATATGAACATCTTTCGCAAGTCAGTGTTGCACGGGCCTTGGCAAAAACACAGCATGACTTTAATCAAACCTGGAAATTTCGTTGCAGAAATGTTTTGATATTCTGGTGTTTTAGGAAATGTTTTTGAAATTGCAGGGACCATGCTGAGTGGATTCGCTATCTTGTGTTGCGGAAAGTCCCGAGTATCGACGAAAGATGACCACGTGCCCATCACGGTGTGTGTGAATGTGTGGGTGGGCGTGGCACAGCTGTTCACCGTCACGTTCATGTTGGTGGGGTGGTTCTGGAGCGTGGCATGGGGCATCAAGATGATCATTCTCTCAAGTAAGTAGCTTCAAATAAATAAACATAATCTCAATAAATGATGAATGAATAAATACAGTTGTGAATGAATGAAAATAATGGCTCTGTTATGATATATTGCATGATATTAGTTAAGAAACTAATACGGATACATAGTGAGTGTATTCCACATGGTCGGTGTGTTCCACATGGTCGGTGTATTCCACATTGTCGGTGTATTCTACATGGTCGGTGTATTCCACATGGTCGGTGTGTTCCACATGGTCGGTGTATTCCACATGGTCGGTGTGTTCCACATGGTCGGTGTATCCACATGGTCGGTGTATTCTATATGGTCGGTGTGTTCTATATGGTCGGTGTGTTCCACATGGTCGGTGTATTCCACATTGTCGGTGTATTCCACATAGTCGGTGTATTCCACATTGTCGGTGTATTCTACATGGTCGGTGTATTCCACATTGTCAGTGTATTCCACACGGTCGGTGTGTTCCACATGGTCGGTGTATTCTATATGGTCGGTGTGTTCCACATGGTCGGTGTATTCCACATGGTCGGTGTATTCCACATGGTCGGTGTATTCCACATGGTCGGTGTATTCTATATGGTCGGTGTATTCCACATGGTCGGTGTATTCCACATAGTCGGTGTATTCTACATGTCGGTGTATTCCTAATGGTCAGTGTATTCAACATGGTCGGTGTATTCCACATAGTCGGTGTATTCAACATGGTCGGTGTATTCCACATAGTCGGTGTATTCCACATGGTCGGTGTATTCCACATAGTCGGTGTATTCAACATGGTCGGTGTATTCCACACGGTCGGTGTATTCCACACGGTCGGTGTATTCAACATGGTCGGTGTATTCCACATGGTCAGTGTATTCCACATGGTCGGTGTATTCCACACGGTCGGTGTATTCCACATGGTCGGTGTATTCCACATGGTCGGTGTATTCCACATGGTCGGTGTATTCTGTATGGTCGGTGTATTCCACATAGTCGGTGTATTCCACATAGTCGGTGTATTCTACATGGTCGGTGTATTCCACATGGTCGGTGTATTCAACATGGTCGGTGTATTCTACATGGTCGGTGTATTCCACATGGTCGGTGTATTCTACATGGTCGGTGTATTCTACATGGTCGGTGTATTCCACATGGTCGGTGTATTCAACATGGTCGGTGTATTCCACATAGTCGGTGTATTCCACATGGTCGGTGTATTCCACATGGTCGGTGTATTCCACATGGTCCATGTATTTCACATGGTCGGTGTATTCTATATGGTCGGTGTATTCCACATGGTCGGTGTATTCCACATGGTCGGGTGTGTTCCACATGGTCGGTGTATTCCACATGGTCCATGTATTTCACATGGTCGGTGAATTCCACATGGTCGGTGTCATGGCTATGAATCTGCTTCTGGTGAGTGTCATGGCTATGAATCTGCTACTGGTGAGTGTCGTGGCTATGAATCTGCTACTGGTGAGTGTCATGGCTATGTATCTGCTACTGGTGAGTGTAGTGACTATGAATCTGCTACTGGTGAGTGTCATGGCTATGAATCTGCTACTGGTGAGTGACGTGACTATGAATCTGCTACTGGTGAGTGTCGTGACTATAAAATTTGCTACTGGTGAGTGACGTGACTATGAATCTGCTACTGGTGAGTGTCGTGGCTATGAATCTGCTACTGGTGAGCGTCGTGACTATGAATCTGCTACTGGTGAGTGTCATGGCTGTGAATCTGCTACTGGTGAGCGTCGTGACTATGAATCTGCTACTGGTGAGTGTCATGGCTATGTATCTGCTACTGGTGAGTGTCATGGCTGTGAATCTGCTACTGGTGAGTGTCATGGCAATGAATCTGCTACTGGTGAGTGTCATGGCTATGTATCTGCTACTGGTGAGTGTCATGGCTGTGAATCTGCTACTGGTGAGTGTCATGGCTATGTATCTGCTACTGGTGAGTGTCATGGCTGTGAATCTGCTACTGGTGAGCGTCGTGACTATGTATCTGCTACTGGTGAGCGTCGTGACTATGTATCTGCTACTGGTGAGCGTCATGGCTGTGAATCTGCTTTAAGTGTCATGTCTTAAAGTGTCGACGTATTACATACAAGCTGATTCGCTTTTAGGATTATTGACTTTTGTATATGTTGATGAAATCAATAGACCTTACGTAATACCACACTGTGTCTGGTACGACCATTGCATCTCCCTATGGCTCTATAAACAGGCATAATAGCGACGCAGGTTCTCCATTAACTTTTCATTTTCTAAGCCGACAGCAAGAACGACTGGGTAAAAAACACCTGAAACTACGATCTAGCATCCGTCAGTGTATGCATTGTAAATAATTATTGAGTCAGTGAAAACCCTGTCATCGACCGAGAGTGCTGCTTCCCGTGTCGCATTAGCTCCACGCTGTAGATGACATTGTCGGAGTGGTCGGCAGCGTGCACCTCGCCGCACATGCCCCGTTCACATGGTGAACTGCCATAAATTAAACAACATGCTTTTGTTCTTAAATCAATGAAAAAACAATATGCTTTATCTTCTTGTTTGTACTTCATTCTGCCTTTGTTTGCAAAGATTTCATCAACACGTGTTTTGTCGGTCTATTTCTGTATACTGGTCAAACAAAGGGCTTTTTGTTCAGTCTTGTGAGTACCTGCTCTCATGTCAGGATTAGTGGCTTTCATGACCGCACATTACTTTGTACTGTTGCTTAAATATAATAGACTAAGTATTCAAGGATTTTATCTTTCTTGTTGTTTGTACTGTACGTCTTCGATTAAGTGTAACACAGAACCACACATGTTCACAGCGGTGTTGTCATGGCGACCCTGCATTTGTTCACTCTGGTGTTGTCATGGCGACCCTGCATTTGTTCACTCTGGTGTTGTCATGGCGACCCTGCATTTGTTCACTCTGGTGTTTACTGACATGATCTTAGCTATAGACCCAAACATGATTTTTTAGCTATAGACCCTTGCATGATTTAAGCTATAGACCCTAGCATGATGGTAGCTATAGACCTTACATGATGTTATCTAAAGACCTTAACATGATGTTATCTATAGACCTTAACATGATGTCAGCTATAAACCCTGCATTTGTTCACTCTGGCGTTGTCATGTTCAGGTTCAAGTAGACCCAAATATGATTTAGTTATAGACCAAAACATGATTTAGCTATAGACCCAAACATGAATTTAGCTATAGACCCAATCATGATTTTAGCTATAGACCCAAACATGATTCTAGCTATAGACCCAAACATGATTTTAGCTATAGACTCAAACATGATTTTAGCTATAGACCCAAACATGATTTTAGCTATAGACCCAAACATGATCTTAGTTATAGACCCAAACATGATTTTAGCTATAGGCCCTGGCATGTGCTAACCTACAGACAGTAGCATGATCTTAGCTACAGACATAACATGTTTTCAAGCATTGGGCTTGTAACATGCTTAGCTCACTGGAAAAGTGTATGTGTGTCTTCCAGGGGGGTCGGGATAGATTAACACAAAACTAAGAAAATATTCCAAGAAAGGACTACCCTTTTTTCACAGTTTAAGTGAAGAACATTCATGTAGTGTCGAAATGTGACTGCTTTCCTCTGTTTGGGTCGAACTGTCTTGTATAATCTATAGACTGGCTAATGCCTTCATGAGATGGGGCTGATGGCATCCGTTCCGTCCGGAGGAAACGTAGCCTTGCTCCAAGGCTGTACTGAATTATATCCATGGATGTCGTACAGATAAGCCGACAGTACGGAAGCCGTGTTTTATAGGGTTAACGTGTCCTTATTATTCCCCGCCGCGAGGTATATATAGGTATGTCCTTCCGTCCTTCCCTCCGCTTCTCAAAGGGGACAAATTTTCTCAAAAGCGTTTTCAGTCAGAGAAATGAAATGTTACCCACTGATGCTACTGGTCATGCTTCAAATGAGTTCGAAAATTGGTCCCGTCAATTATTGTTTCACAGAGTAATGGCTCTTGTTCCGTGCTTTTCAACTTAGTGGATATTGTGTGAAATGGAGACAAGTTTTCTCAGAAGCTTCTGAAGTTACATAAATGAAAGTTTACATGCTCAAGATTGAGTTCGAAATTGTTCTCGTAAATTATCTTTTACAGAGTTATGACCCTTGATCCTTGTTATCTCACTTAGTGCATAGTGTGAGCAATGGGGACAAGTTTTCTCAGAAGCTACTCAAGTTAACTTAGATAAGAGATACTTATCTTGACTGAGTTATTTTTTTCCAGAGAAGGGACTGGATGTGTGGATTAGTTCCACATTTTATCATTTTGGTCTGATGACATAAAGCGCCCCAAGTGCCTTTCTCTTCTTAAGGCATTATAAAACTCTCTCTTAAAGGTTATATTGACTACAATATGAACAAACACAATTCTAATGTGCCCCATGGCGGGGAAATAGTGATAACGCTGTTTTCTTGTTATTTATATTATCTGGGAATTTCCTTGGAGTCCTGATCAAGTCTAGATAGACACCTTATGGTGGCCTGTGGTAGGAGATCTCTGAGTGGACGGGCCTTCATGTGGGTCAGTGAGAGATGAGGACACCAGCATCTGTTGTTACAGTGTCTGCTGATAACGGCCGCGGAGTCTACCCACATCCGCGCCACGCAGATCAACGCGAGAGTGGGTGCCACCGGAAGAAACCTTTTGTCAGAATAAATGAGATTGATTCTTCATTTGTAACATATTTGCATCTCGGTTGTTTCCGTCTTACCTGGCCCTGGTTGCCCATAGCAACGGGAGTTCGGCGTGTCTAAGAGCCCATCCTGCATGGAGACAGCTTGACGTCATATTGTGGTTTATTTCCAAACTCCGAATGAACGAACACGAAATTAAGGATGAATAAGAGAGGTTACCCAATCATTTGGAGGAATCTTTTCAACCTAGGAAGACCGTAGGAAAACGTGTGCTTGTTTCTGTCCAAAGAAATCTTTGATAGACATTTAGAAGTTGCTTTTGTCCAACCCTGCTATTGTATATACCATCCCCACCCGTTGCTATACCATCTCTACCTGTTGTTATACCATCCCCACCCGTTGTTATACCATCCCCACCCGTTGTTATACCATCCCCACCCGTTGTTATACCATCTCTATCTGTTGTTATACCATCTCTACCTGTTGTTATACCATCTCTACCTGTTGTTATACCATCCCCACCCATTGTTATACCATCTCTACCTGTTGTTATACCATCTCTACCTGTTGTTATACCAACCCCACCCGTTGCTATACCATCTCTACCTGTTGTTATACCATATCTACCCGTTGTTATACCATCTCTACCCCTTGTTATACCATCCCATCCGTTGTTATACAATCCCCATCCTTTGTTATACCATCTCTACCACTTTTTATACCATCCCCACCCCTTATACCATCTCTACCTGTTGTTATATCATCTCTCCCCGTCGTTATACCATCTCTACCCCTTGTTATACCATCTCTACCTGTTTTTATACCATCCCCACCCATTGTTATACCACCCCCATCCGTTGTTATACCATCCCGTCTGTTGTTAAACCACCTCTACCTGTTGTTATATCATATCTACCCGTTGTTATAATCATCTCTCCCCGTTGTTATACCATCTCTACCTGTTGTTATACCATGCCCACCCGTTGTTATACCATCCCCACCCGCTGTTATACCATCCCCATCCGTTGTTATACCATTCCGTCTGTTGCTATACCATCCCCATCCGTTGCTATACCATCTCTACCTATTGTTATACCATACTCTACCCGTTGTTATACCATCTCTACCCCTCGTTATACCGTCCCATCCGTTGTTATACCATCTCTACCCGTTGTTATACCATCCCCACTCGTTGTTATACCATCCCCATCCGTTGTTTTACCATCTCTACCCCTTGTAATACCATCCCCACCCGTTATGCCATCTCTACCCGTTGTTATATCATCTCTCCCCGTTGTTATACCATCTCTACCTGTTGTTATACCATCCCCACCCGTTGTTATACCATCCCCAGCCCGTCGTTATACCATCCCCATCCGTGGTTATACCATCCCTACCCGTTATACCATCTCTACCTGTTGTTATATCATCTCTACCTGTTGTTATACCATTCCCAGCCCGTTATATCATCTCTACCTGTTGTTATACCATATCTACCTGTTGTTATGTCATATCTACCCGTTGTTATATCATCTCTCCCCGTTGTTATACCATCCCCATCCGTTGTTATACCATATCTACCCCTTGTTATACCATCTCTTCCCGTTGTTATACCATCCCCACCCGTTATGCCATCTCTACCTGTTGTTATATAATATCTACCCGTTGTTATATCAACTCTCCCCGTTGTTATACCATCTCTACCTATTGTTATACCATCCCCTGCCGTTGTTATACCATCCCCAGCCCGTCGTTATACCATCCCCATCCGTTGTTATACCATCCCCACCCCTTATACCATCTCTACCTGCTGTTATATCATCTCTCCCCGTTGTTATACCATCTCTACCTGTTGTTATACCATCCCCAGCCCGTTGTTATACCATCTCTACCCCTTTTTATACCATCCCCACCCATTGTTATACCATACCCACCCATTGTTATACCAACCCCATCCGTTATTATACCACCCCGCCTGTTGTTATACCATCTCTACCTGTTGTTATATCATATCTACCCGTTGTTATATCATCTCTACCTGTTGTTATACCATCTCTACCTGTTGTTATACCATCTCTACCCGTTGTTATACCATCTCTACCCGTTGTTATACAATTCCTACCCGTTGGTATGTCATCTCTTCCCGTTGTTATGGCATCCCTACCCGATCATATATCAACCCCACCCGTTTCTATGCACTCTACGATGACGTGATCCAGGATTAAACGTTTTGTTCGATCGTTAATCAACTCGCGGTCGATGGTCGTTCATTTTAGAGAGTCCGAGGCTAATCTTCGATGCCTGAGTGACCTGTAATAGACAGTTAATTCACACGCAATAATTTCCACCTAAATTACACCAATCAGACAATGTCTGGAAGAAAAAATCAATGATGTTCCACACAAACAGAAAGTTCCTTTTGGCAAGAGTCTTGTAACCTGACGCAGTGGAGAGGCGGTGTTCGATCAGACTTCGAGATGAATGTCCCATAAGAATTCCATGGTGGAGATTAATGAACCGTGCACCGTTTGTTCTAAGAGCTTTCTCTGTGTCAACATGGGAGAGTTGACGATAACTAGGCCTGAAATAGTACGCCGAGCACTTAAGGATTATGTCAATAGTCCGCATCCTCATAGGAACAGGTTGTGCGGGACCGTGGACGATGGGCCTGAGCGAGGAGTCTTTCAAAGAATAACACGTTTGGCCCAACGAACCTGTTATCACAATAATATCAATATTACACTGAAACACGTCCCGTGGTGACACAAGGCTAAATTTAGGATAAACCGATACAGATTTAGACCCATCGTCGATATAATAAGGCAGCGTGACACCGCCTTTTCCGATGTCGCTATATGGATGAATGTTACCATGCACTTTCATTGTGTCATGTGGTCAGGCTCTGTGACTTGGTGGATTGCGTGTCATCGGATCTCGCTGACTTGGTCGTTGCTCATAATATCAACCACTGGATTGGCTGTGACAGACAGACTGACAGTTTTATTTCAGTGTTGGAGACCCCGAAGCCCAGAGTACAATTTTACACACATTGCCAATGGTGTATCATGAATTCTTTGAAGTCACTTTTAAGGTGCCTTTTAAACATTATCTCTTGGTGCCACTGGTAGATATTGCTATTGTATATCATTAGTGGACGTCAAGCTACAAATCCACGTGATTCTGCCCTGATGAAAATCTACGATACTATGTCTATATCATGAATATACAGCAATTGTGGAATTTCCATTAATATTATTAAATTTCTTGTCATGAAAATGTCTAAGCTTTTCTATGTCTTGTTGACATCAAATCTATCAGCTTCTGATTTGATGGATAACGATGATTAGTATATCGGTAGCAACAGATTTCTGCTTGACCTGTCGTAGGGACACACTAGCATAACATGGTATTCATCTTCGAATTCCATCACGTTTTACATTTTTTACAAGTTATGTATATTGAATCATACACTGTTTTACTATAAGCGTTGGATTTGTAGTTTCAAACCATGTAATAAACATCGAAATTTCGCAAGTATTTATTAAACTTGATGTTATATATAATTCAGACTCGAGTAATGTTTTATACCAATGCATCTGCTACGGAACAAACTCATAAATTAAGATTCATCCCCAAATTCCTGGGATATCCAGACGTATAAGAATCTTGTTTGGAATACTAATATGTGACGCCCAGTTTACTTCTCTATTATCCACATACACGTTAAGCATGTCATAGCAATTGTATGTATTATGACTTGACCCGTTACACTGATCCGATGTAGTGACCCGTTACACTGATCCGATGTAGTGACCCGTTACACTGATCCGATGTAGTGACCCGTTACACTGATCCGATGCAGTGATCTGTTACACTGATCCGATGTAGTGACCCGTTACACTGATCCGATGTAGTGATCTGTTACACTGATCCGATGTAGTGATCTGTTACACTGATCCGATGTAGTGACCCGTTACACTGATCCGATGTAGTGACCCGTTACACTGATCCGATGTAGTGACCCGTTACACTGATCCGATGTAGTGACCCGTTACACTGATCCGATGTAGTGATCTGTTACACTGATCCGATGTAGTGACCCGTTACACTGATCCGATGTAGTGACCCGTTACACTGATCCGATGTAGTGATCTGTTACACTGATCCGATGTAGTGATCTGTTACACTGATCCGATGTAGTGACCCGTTACACTGATCCGATGTAGTGACCCGTTACACTGATCCGATGTAGTGACCCGTTACACTAATCCGATGTAGTGATCTGTTACACTGATCCGATGTACTGATCTGTTACACTGATCCAATGTAGTGATCTGTTACACTGATCCGATGTAGTGACCCGTTACACTGATCCGATGTAGTGACCCGTTACACTGATCCGATGTTGTGATCTGTTACACTGATCCGATATGTTAACCCGAAAAAGTGATCCCTTAAATTGATTTGAAAAAGTGATGCGTTATTTTGATCCGAAATAGTGATCCGTTATTTTGATCTGAAATAGTGATCCGATATTCTAGTACGAAATCGGGACCGTCCTCTGTTCAGATGGTGCTTTATTGTATATAATTTGTATATAAGTCTCAGATACAAATCTATATAGGTACTAAAATGAAATTATATTGATGGGTCAGAATTTTCGGACAGAAGGCCAAAAAACCCATGCAGGTGTGATAAGGAACTTATCCTCCAATTACTTCAGACCAAATCTGTAGGGTTTTAGTAGATTGGGGTTACACTGTTCCTATAAATTCACATACATTTACTAACAGACCCATGAAGATGCGGGGTAGAATAGGTCTTCAGCAACCTTTGCTTGCCGTAAAAGGTGACTATGCTTGTCGTGAGAGGCGACTAACGGAAATGTGTGGTCCGGCTCGCTGACTTGGTTGATGCATGTCATCGTATCCCAATTGCGTGGATCGTTGATAATCACTGGATTGTCTGGTCCAGACACGATTATTTACAGACCGCCGTCATATAGCTGGAATATTGCCGAGTGCAACGTTAAACAACAAACAAACAAACAAACATTTGTTAAAGTGATCTGTTACACGAAACGTTACTACATACTGTATGAATGTTGAATGTTGAATGTTTCAGTCGAATATCGGAAGGAGTTAAAGCAGAAGCGGGAGAAGGAACTCCAGGCACTCGCTCTCAGCGCCTTCGGCTCACCCACTCGAGGAGCTAGAGGCCTTTTCGGCTAGCTCTACCGGCGGGGTGATGGAAGCCTCTTTGGCAAACTCTACCAGGATACTCAGATACTCAAGTGATGCCTCACAGCCTTAATGAAACATTTCTCAACCGGTACATACACATCTTCATTACACGTGTGTCTGTGACCCCGGTGACAGGTGCGCGATGGGTGCAAGAGAAGCTGAGGAAGTGATCTTTCAAGGATGAAGGAGTGGATGTGTGGTGGTTCTCGGGCACGGTGAATAGAGTGAGATGGGCTTCTGGACACCCACAAGCAGTGGTCATGTGTGAAGGGCACCCAGGGCGGGTCCAGCTGGTGCGCCCTGGTGCTACATCCTACTGGAATGTCTTGTAGTTCAGGGTGTCGGCTATTCATTGTTGTAGCTGCGTAGCTTCGCGTATTTGGCAGTCATCTTTTTAAACAACACCATCGAAAGGAAAGCCGCGTCAGTGCCATGACATCAGCACCTGGCGAGTGGGGACGTCTGTGGTCGGAGGATGGCCTCGGTAATAACGGAGGGAGATAGACGGATCTGTCATGCCATGTACTACACAAAGTTTGATAGGGATGCGGACATTATTTCAGACAAAAAATATGCACAAACATTAGCTAACTTTTTGTGTCAAGGAATGATAGTACTATCCTCGTCCAGGTTGAGCAAGGACACCGACTTCAAAGAAACATTGTCTTTTGACATTGTCCGTCGTAGATTCACAGAACCTATCAGAAAGCAAGATTCTAAAATGTCTTCGTAGAATATCATATGGCATGCATTAAGTGCAGGGTATAAGTATCAGACTTACTTAACTCTAGTGTATTTAGTAATGGTAAATAATTTCTCGGAACGGGGTCACAAACTTTTTGTCAGTCGCCTTTTCAAGAACACACGTACTAGACCTCAATTCTTCCTTCAACACTACTTAACTTTTGATAGGAGTATTCATGTTATTTTATACAAGCATACACTTGACCTGAGAACTAATTATCTTGTGTATCATGGAATGACAAAAAATATCCGCATCAAAAGTGTAGTAGTAAAATATAACGTACGTATGATATATTGTGGTGTAAGTTTCCACTCCTTTTGACCTGGACGATACCAGCCGTGCGACATGTCAAACTGCCCACTCACATGCTGCAGAAACTAATGGTCACATCCACCCCGTGTTTGAAAGCATGGACAAGAAAATGTGGCGTGGAAGTAGACAGACAACCAGGTCACACATTGTAACCACCTCATTTGTTAGTCATAGATTCATCCAAGTGAAATCCGTAAGACCTGCATAACTTCGGCATCGCCTACATCAAACTCAAAGCTGAGTTAACCCAATACAACAATCCCTCAAGAGATGGCTCCTGCGACAAGTTGGGCTACTGGTCAACTATCATGCACCAGTACCTCCACGTGGATTGCCAGAAAGATTATTTTGGGATCTTATTCTGTGTCGAGAAGTGCATGAAACAAAGGAGTTATCTAGGTCTAACATAGAGAACCGATTTTGGCCTATAGACACTGGGGTCTCACCAACATCTCCGCGGCAACATCTGATATCTCTACTGTGTGAAATATAAAGTTAATATTAAATCAAGGATGAAATTACACGGAGATAAGTTTTCCAAGAAGCACATACTGGTGCACCGGCAGGTGAGAACAGACTGATGGTCGGTTGTGTAGAAGCACCCTGTCAGAGGTATAAGTTCTGTGGAAACAAAAGTGTCGCTAAGTGTGCCTAGGATAGAAAGCACCGATATTGTCGAGTGAAAGCCTGTTATAAAGTGTTAATCCAAACAGTATCTTTACCAGTGAAAAGTGCAAGTCTGGATAAACAGATTTCTGTATAACGAATTGTGGGTACCAAACAATGTTGCTTTGTGTAAATAATGACATAACTGTATACACACCCTACAGAACCAGTGCCTGAGGCTGGTATTCACCGGATCAGCTGGCATATCCCATCCTGGCACTTTACCGCCATGTTAAATTCCATCCATTTCTGAGCCTTACTGTTATTTTATATTACACACCATTCAACTGTGATATTAATACATGCCTTGTGTGTAACATGTAATACTTGTTATAAAACTGTTTACAGTCACAAGTTCTTTTACATACTGTTATCATTGCTGAGGAAACTTAAAAGCCCTGTCAGGTATGTAGGCTGAAAACAGTATTTCCTTCCATATTCGAGACATCATTCTACAATGGTTAAAGGGGCATAACTAGAATTATCCCTCCTGGAATGATGCAAGGTAGACAACTCTGATGTGTTCATTCAGGTGAGTCTGCAATATGTTAGCTTGGCCTGAATCAGTACCTCAGCTATGACAGAAAATCACAAATGACTAAAGTGATGTTAATCCAGGATTGCTTATATGATCAAAGATGTCTCCAACTCGGATGTGACTCACGATGGATGTGAATGTAAGATTTAAACCATAAACTCCAGTCAGCCAACTGACATGACAGTTGTGCTGCCTTACACAAAATAACAACTGTATATAGGTCATACGAGAATTTATTGTGACATGATGTGACAGGAAACATAAAACTTACAAAGGATTGTTCTAGACGTCTCAACTCGGCAAGACTTAGTTGCAAACATGTACAGAGAAAAGTAAAATACATACTTAAAAGTAGCTGTAGAAAAATTTAAAAGGAACTGCAATACACATCCTATGCCGGACGGCTGAAAATACAGATTGATTTATCAATGTCACCACTGAATTACATTGACAAATATACACCTTAAAACAATACAAACCGACTTGCCATTACCACAGGGTGAAGTGATGATCTACCGGTTGGACTCAACACGGTGAATACTAGACAAATGTTGACACTGATCAAACACTAAACTGATAACACAGATTAAAGCAAGGTGCTTGTTACTGTCTGTCAAATCACTTCTCTCAACCTATGATGGGGGCTGACGAGAAACACAGCTTCATGATGAATGGGTTCTTGCCAGCTGAAAACAACAAACAAAGCTTAGACTCTTCATCTTCCTGGGCCTGTTTCACAACACAACCTTAGCACTACCAATGTTGTGACTCCCCTCTTTACCAAATATTTACAAAGACAATTTATGGATAACTTCTTTTCTTGACTGTCATGGCGACGTTTCGGTATAGATCCTTAAACTGTTGTCAATCAAGGATCATAAGGATTTATACCAAAACTTTGCCTTTACTGTAAAATAAAGAAGTTGTTATCAATACATTGCGTCAACTTTTGTCATCCTTCAACTTCTAAGAAATGCCAATCAAACACACACAATTCAAATATTTCCGTCTTATCTGTTTCTTGGAACAGGGCCAAGTACCAATAAAAATGGCTTGCTTAACTACCAACATCTGTTGAAACTAATATGTTGGCATTTTAAGTGTTAGAGTTGGGTTTAACGCCACTTTTAACAGTATTCCAGTTATATCACAGCGTGTCAGCTTAATGTGGGAGGAAAGCCTGAAGTGATGCAGGTCTCATACATTTACCATTTCAGTGAAACCCACGAGCACGGGTACGGTGCTGACAAACCTAGAAACATAATCGGGGCAAACCGGGATTCGAACCCACAATCATAGGTTTCTGGCATGCCATTGGGCGCCATTCCTCACAACGAATCGCAGTGCCTTAGACAACTGGGCCACCGGTGCCCCCCTTGGCATTGTAAGAAAACAAGCACCTTAAAGAACGGGACAGTGCTGACATAAGTCTGGAGTGTTATGAAGATGTCAACCGCCTGACTCCCCTAACAAGGGACACACTACACTTGAAATACAGTGTTGGAGGTTCAAAAAAGGACCAATAGACTGAAAACTGATGTTTACTAGTTCAGGTGGACATAGATGGGTATAATAATAAAATAACAATCTGTACGTACCAACTGAACCTGGGTTTTCAACTGGTGTATGATTACACATCACTAGTGCTTCCACAGCATCGGCTTTGTTATCAAACTCTGCAAGACCCGACGAGCTCCTCTCTGCTGGGAAAACAGCAAATCATCTTCATAGGAATGTACCTGTCATATACTTGTGGTTGGTACAGGTCAAATCAGTGCTATTAAGGCCTTGACAGCCATCTCAAATAAGATGTAGAATTTGTTAAAAGCAGATAAAGCAGTACTCAAATGAAGGAAATACAGACACCTTGCTTTTAATCATCACAAAACTATTGGAATTGCAGGAGAGCAATGTTACTTGACACATCAAAACTACTCCAGGGAATCAGTGCTGAGTGAACAAACATTTTAAACTGACAGAAAAACACTTACTCTTGGAAGGAAACAATTTGACTTGCATTGGTTTCTTTACTTCAGCTTTCTCAAAAATCTGGAAACAATGAAAATGCCATGACAACACATACATGAAGAACAATGCATATGTTCAAACAGAAGACATGTTAACAATTGAGTCCAGACACTTCAAGTCTTTGGGAAGAATCATTAAAAACATTGAATGATGACCATGTTGTAAGCTGTTACACATTGCACAGATCTGGTTTAGTATATATAACAGTGCATAGTAATGAAAGCAAACCTTTTCAATATCCTCTGCTGTGATGCCAGGTGGGGTATTGAAGAAATGCAACACTTTTGCCGGGCCCTGGACTCTTGAAGAAGGTTAAGGAAAGTATCACAGCACATCATACCTAAACATTCCTTCTGTATAGTAAAGATGACCGTTTTACCTAATGTATCTCAAACACTGCTTCTTGGTTTGTTTGTTATTTAATGCTGAACTAAGCAACATTCCAGCTATATGATGACAGTCTGTAAATAATCAAGTCTGGTCCAGGCAATCTGACATTAGCATCAAATCCACGCAATTGGATACGAAACAAAATCAGCGAGACTGACCATCTGTCAGTAGCCTCTTACGACATGCATAGTCGCCTCGTATGGCAAGCATGGGTTGCTGAAAACCTATTCTCTACATAATCTTCACGGGTCTGCTTCATGGTACAGAGATGAATAAAAGCGTATACAAACTTCAATTTGTAGTATTGAGCACATTGATGTATTGTTCCAAGCTTAGATTTAGGCAAAAACATTGGACAACATTTTTCTCTCCAGGGACAAAAGAACATGCTATTTATTTAGTTCCAAACTGTTGTCATGTGGTGACTGCAATTTGTGAAGGATATTGTTCTTCTTGGCTGCCTCTGGGTTAGTGAAGCGGTTGTTCCTGTTGCCCATGAAGTCCATGTAGGAGGGTGTTCCATCGGGCAGCTCATGGGGGTTCATCACATCCTGAAGGAATGCTTGTTTTGAAGGGCTGAAAACACAAAGAAAACATGGTCAGAAACATCGTTTGAAGGACATCCCTTTAATTGCATAAAGACAATAACACAACAAAATCTCAACAACTTAACTTCTTTTTGACAAAATTTGTTTTTTTTGTACCACTAGCTTCTCTTAATTTTTTTCTGACAAAGACGTGCAGTTTAACTTTTAACTGAGGAAATGTATGAGTAGTTCAAGTCAACTGATGCATACTGGTCTCTAGGTCAAGACAATTTGTGATATCAACATCAGGGTTGAGACATACCTGAGCTGCATCTTGTTGTCGAAGAAGAATGTGTTGTGCAGGTTGAGGATCGCTCGTTCCACAGACATGCCGTCACCAAGCTGAACCATGGCAGAACCTTCCTTGCTCTTCAGGAACTTCACCTGCAGGAACAGGTCATGAACAATTTCAGGACACTTGGAAGACATAACTCACATCATATGGATCTTAAACCGATATTACTAATCAGAAGTTGGGAACCTAAGACTTAAGACACTTTGCCTAAATCACTGCAGTATGCATTTGCTCAGCAAATGAGAAAATCACAAACTTTAGGAGTCCTATTCATCCCACTATAAACGAATGAGGTGACTGAACTGAGGACAATTAGAATAACTTACCCTGACAACGTTGCCATAGAGACAGAAGAGATTAAAGAGCCTCTCACAGTTGAGCTTGGCCATGTTGAGACCGTACACCATGACTACAGCTCCTTGTTGGCTGCTGCTTGGGGGGCCCATCATGCCCTGGTCAGGGTAGTGCTGAGGGGGGCCGTAACGATCCTACAACCAACAGTGGCCACATCAAAGAAACATCCTCCAATCTTCACCTGTCTACCCCCTTTGACACAGTTTACCCTCGACTTGAGCACTTCCATATCATAAGATTCTTTAGCATACTCTTAGGACAGAGACCTCTAAACTTTGAATTTGAACCAGGATGACCTCATGATACAACTATCAAAACATATTGCATGACCATCGTACCTGTCTGTGACCGTATCTGTCAGGAGGGCCATTGTATGGAGCACCTCGTGGAGATGGCCCTGGGCCATAGCCACTGTCATACTCCTGTTCATAATAGCCTGATGGACCTGCCCCGTAGCCCCCACCATAGCCACCCCCACTGCCACCATGGGCAGTGTGCCCACTCCCCCCTCGGTTGAAGTCTGGGCCATCTATAAAACAAGTGGACGATTAATAAACAAATAAATAAAACCTATTTATTTCAGTTACTTGAGAAATGGTTGTAATCAACAGAACTGAAGGTTTAATGATTGACTGTATGGTATGATAGTAGAATGTAACTTAAACATTGTCATTGTTTTCCTTTACAGGGTACTTTGTGCAACGAGGTGGTGATGAACACCGAATGTGTGGAATGTGTTGCAACTCAACAGCATGCAGTAACACATATGAGATTTATCACATACCATGCATACCGGGGCCCTCTTCTACCATTCCATCTAAACACAACAGTTAAGGGATTTACAACATACCCCTGACTTGAGATTGCATAGAGATGGGGGGATGGGTTGTGTAGGCTACTATAACCATCATGTTACTACACAATAACTAGGTCAGGAGAATAAATCTTTTCCGAGACTTTTATCTGTTCAATTATTCAAATTTTAAAATGGATGCCAGCTGATGAATATCATAAAACAAATTTAAGACCATTTGGTCAAAATAAACGTGTTATGTAAAAACTTGACGAAGCCGTCAGAATAAAACTGTTAATCAAATTGTTCAACTTTATACAATCCTATAGCTGTTATACACACTGATCTGGCTGTTTCTGAATGTATGTTTCA